GGGAATTTCCGCGGGCCGCTTTCCATTGGTTGTTGGGACACTAGGGTCGGTGCCCCCCTCCTGGTTTTTGCTTCCGCCGAAGGATATGCTCACATTAGTCGTATTTTGGTACTGATTACAAGCACTTCTTCTTGACTTTTTCATCACATGAGATTCAACCATTGATGTGAAACCCGATTGGTCGAAATTAGCCTCTCATTTCTAACCCGACATGTAATTTTACCCGTCTCTCCCGAGAAAAAAAAAGCAAAATTCAATCGTAGTAACGAGCTTCTTCGAGTTTCGGGGTTGCGTGTGCTGTATTCCGGGTGTGTTTGTTTGTGCGGCAGGATGATTTCCCTCGCGAGAACTCTCGGATGTAAATCATGGAAAATCACGTCGTGACCCGAGAAATAGTACCATTTTTTTTTAATCGGAAAAGGTCGATTTAGCCCGATACGAAACGATCCCCCTTTTTTCACATTTTATTAGGCAGCGAAAGACACTTGACTGTGTGCGAGGAAATAAGAACAGAAGTTAGAATTGACCGGTTGTTGGATCCTAGGATTATATTTTGTTATTGTAACATGAGAGGTAAGAAAAGGGGGTCCCGTAAGAGATAAAGTTTGACAAATGCAAGATGACGAGAAGGCAAAACATTGGAGGGGGAGCTTTGACCAGGTTTTGCTGATTTTCAGGGCGTGATTAAGGCCACATAATAAAATGACAAGCCAAGTAAGATCTTACGTGGGGCAATGGTCATTAAACCAAACGCATACACGTACTCATCCCCCTTACAGTGACTCTCTTCTGGTGTGGTATTGTTATCTGTCATCATGGATTGGACGAGGTCGCTGTCTTGCGATGGGCAAAGACATCATCGACCCTTTGGATTGATACCAAACCAGGAGTCTTTTGAAACCTGTGGTTTCACGTTCGAGGGCCAAAGGAATATGAATTGCAACGTTACCCAGAGGGTCGAAGGTTAAAGAGCATGTTTGGTTCAGCATTTGAATGCTGCTTTGAGGGTCTAAAGTCCTTTGGGGGGGGGTGGCCGCCTTTTTTTTTTTTTTTTTCATATCAACAAAAGTCTTTTACAAATAATTTTTACCAAACGGTATTTAGGCCAAAGTTGCTTTCAAATGTGATTTTAAAATACACATTACCAAACACTACTTGCATTTCGAAAAACACTTTTAGCTCAAAGGTCTTTGCATTTTGCCAAATGCATTTTTCAAGAACTGAACCAAACAGGCCCAAAGATTCATTGCATGTTTATCATAGATGTATACCTAATCTAATAGTTTTGTGAAAAAAAGAATAGACAAGATGCTTGTCAGTCAAAAGATTAGGATTAGAATAAGCTTGTGAACACGAGTAATGACAGATACAACATCGATCTCGTATTGTATATGCGCCCACTTACTTCCTGCACCGGCAGGGCATGATTGTCTCCCTCTTGCTTTAAGGTGAAGGTAATCATACCCTTTTTTTTAATATGGGGTTGCTCACTTGATTGTTCTTTTGACAGATTTGTCAACCCATTTCATGGAAATTGGGCAGAGAAATAAAAACAAAAGCAGAAAATGAGAGAGAGAGAGAGAGACTATTGAGATCTGGTTGGTGATATTTGAATTGGATGGGGAAGAGGAGCTGCATGATCTTGTCCTCTTCTGGGATGACCCTGTGGAAGATATTCCATCAGGGCTTTGTGAGGGCATCACTACATGTCAAAATCAGATCGGCAGGGGCTTTCAAAGAAAGGGAAAAATTGCCAACAGTCCTAAACCTTTTCTTTCTCGATCGAGTCTAACCTTTCTTTGCTGGGTTAGTCCAAACTTTTCATTCTGCAATTAAGTCCCATCCGGTCAATTTTGACCGGAAATCGCGTGCGTGCTGGTGGACGGCCACGTGGCTACCGACTTGGATATTTTAATAATTTTATGATTTTTATGCTTTTTCTTCTTCTTTTTTCCTTTTGCTCTATTTTATTTTTCCGGGCTTCAACTTGCGAGGGCATTGCGGCCCTCGCCCAGAGTCGGCGAGGGTCGGTCGGCCCTCGCCCGTGGCTGGCGAGGGTCGGCCGGCCACCCTTGCCGGCCCTAATTTCAAACCTAGAAAAAAAAACAGAGAAAAGGAAAAAAAATAATAAAATTATTTAAATATTATTTAAAAATGTTTACGTCAGCGCCACGTGACCGTCCGGAGTCTACGTCAGCGATTTCCGGCCAAAATTGGCCGGATGGACTCAATTGGCAAGAAATGAAAAGGTTTAGGACTTAACTGGCAAGAAATGAAAAGGTTTAGGATTCAATTGGCAAAGTTGAAAAGTTTAAGACTGAATTGGCAAAAGTACAATAGGTTTAGGACTGTTTGGACAATTTCCCCTTCAAAGAAAGATATCCAAGAAACACATCAAAACTCCTGATTATGAACATGATTTTGAAAAGTTGTGAGAAAGGGTACGCGTTGGAGGCAAAACGACAGTGCGGAGTGATGGATGCAAGAGGGGAGAAAAATGGGAAATGATGGGCATTCTTGAAACTAAGGAAAAATGGAGGTGGGAAAATGTACAGATCCAAGGAGGAGGAAAACGAAGATAAGGAACATGGAAGTTGCTTTCACTTGTTTTACAAGACAATCCAAAATAATAGCATACTTTTGTGGGGGCTTCCCCATGCAAAGGGACCACATGTTTGAATTGGCCAAAAATTCTCTGGCTTGTTCTGCACTTTTTTGGCGTCCTGAGGAAGAGAGATACGGTGGGTGGGCGGGCGGTTCTTGGTGGGCACTTCGCTTTCTGCTCTGTTCTTCTGCAAAGTCTTCTCCGTTTCTGGCCCTAGTTTTTGATGATGGCGTTCGTTCAGGCCTCAGGCCTGGACAGGGGAGGTTCAGGGAATCACAAACGATAGCAGAGAGGGGGGTTCTGCGCTTCTTGCATGTATCGATGGGATCAAAGTTCCTTCTTTTGCACTCGTTTTTCACCCACATTGGGACTTCAGGGGTCTTGGGTGTGTGTGAGGACTTTTGATGTGGTCCATGTGATTCTTAAGCCAGGAGGGGTTGCCTGCAACAAGAAGGTGTGGGGACAAAATAGTGAAAAACCGCCTTTGGTTCTTGCCAAAAGACGCGACGAGGTGAGCTTCCATACGTGATGATACATGATGTAAGAACGATTCTATGGTTACCATGATTGACTTACAAAATTAGCATATCGATTAATGTGGTAAGTTTCGATTGACCGTTGAGGAGGACACACTTATTAACAAGGGAGAGCGATACGAATAGTCTCCACAATTTGGCTTAATGTATAATGTGATCCCTAAACTTTAATTTGTTCATTGTGGTCCATGAACTTTAGCCCAACGTGCAATGTTGTCCCTGAACTTTTAATTAGTTCGATGTGGTCCCTAGATTTTTTGTGCATATTCAATATAGTCATTGGACTACATGAAAATGTTTAATGTTGTCCTCAAGAACTAGATTGTCAAATTAAAAATTCAGGGACGACATTGCATATTAGACTAAAGTTCAGGGATCGCGGTAAACAAATTAAAAGTTCAAAGACCATAATGTACGTCGAGCCAAAGTTCATGAATCATGTGTGTCGTTTTCCCGTTAACAATTCTATAGAGATATGGCAACTACGACTTGCCATAATTTCCCTTGCTAGATTCATGACTTTCTAACCGCAAGTGTGCCTTGATCGCTGATCAATTATTGGTGCGACAATTTTTTGCATATCAAAAGAAACTTATTTGTTCTTCGTGGTATATGCTCCTCCTCTTTTACATGTAGCCATGAATATCACTCAGTGTGAAATCTGTATTGCCTATTGAACAAGGACTACTGCTCCGTGTGCAATAATATCTGGGCGACAAGATGAATGAGAAAGAGGCCCTCAAATGGCAAGCATTAAATTCAATGGATAATCCTCTTATCTCTGTCCTACTCACTGTTTCTTTGTAGAGCGTGAGAGTCAAATCATATACTTTAAATTAAACGAATTCCCTTACCACTTAAGTGTAAAATGAATTGTAAAAATCCCGACTTCTTATTATTAATTGCTTGGAGTAAAGTACGACTTTATGGATCTAAATAATTCCCTAAAAAATCCCAAACTTTGGTGCCCCAATTCTGCCGTGAACTTTTTTTCAACAAAAAGACCCAAAACTTTACTTCCGATCCCAATTCTGCCTCCGAATTATTATTTTTTTTCTAAGAAAAACCCAAAATTTAATTTCAATTCCAAAAAAAGTTCGAGGCAAAATTGGGTATGGACTTAAAAGGTTGAATTAGGGAATTAGGCCTTAATTGCTCATAGTAAAGTACGACTTTCTAGGTCTAAATGATTGTTTCTAGGTTTTTCCGCGTTCTTCGCTTCAGTAACTAAAACCTCGGTCCGAAATAATAAAAAAAAACGTAGGATCGATTTTCGCGAGCGAAAAACGGAAACGAAAAACGGGTCAAAAACCGAAATCCAATCTAAATTTTCACGAGAAAAGTGACAAAGTAGCTAACGTTCTAATCTCAAAATAAACACAAAAATCTAACACCTCTCATGGACCTAACAAACGATTCTTTTCCCCCTTTGCCCATCCCTCTCCTTTTGAGATTGCGATGGGCTCAAATCGGGCCCATCGTTTTGGGCCATTGGGCCCAATGGGCCCGCGCCCGCAAACCATCTTCTTCTTCCTCCTCCTCCACCTCTCTCTTGTTCAAGCGCCCGCTCAAAACAGAGTCTCAAGAACTCCATAGCTTCGGCGCTCTCTCTGTGTCTCGCCGCGCGTGTTCTGCTTCGCAGAGATCAAGAAACCCTCCGACGGTACCGTACCGGCCACTCTCTCTGTTGCTCTTGTTTTGCGTGACTTCTCTGCTTCAGCTCTCTCGGTTCTTGCTCTCTTGTTGTTGTTATTGTTGTTGTTGTTGTTGTTGTTACCTAACTGGATCAGAATTCGAGTGTGAAAGGGTCTTTAGAAGTGACTTTTAGCTAGTGCTTTGGGTACGCCTGGCTATTATTGTCGAACCCATGGAATGTGATTGGAAACTGCCCGCGGGCGGGTCTTTCTGTGTGGGCGCTCTTGTTTAATGCGCCAAGTGTTCGGTGAAATGTCTCAATCAAAATGATGGAAACTACTCGTCCATCTCCTGGTCCATTTCTTCTTTGCCCTTTCTTCGTTCCTTGTAGTTGAATGTCAATTCGGTATGGCTGGAGAAGGTGCATTATTTCCGTCAACCATTTTCGTCGAATTCGGTCGAGCGTGTTTACCAGCGAAGCGAAACACGCTTCGCGTTCTGGTGGGAGTTTTTGAAATTCCATTGATATTGACCAGGTTGTGCTTCAGAATTCATTTTCAACATGGAAAGTTAGGGACAATTTCACAATTGTTAACTTGATTTCCCTGGGTGGTTAGAAGAGTTGAGGAGAAACTATGATAGAGCTGGGTGAAGCGATAACAGTGTTTGATGGATCAGGGCACGATCTTGCAACGTTTGCTGTGAAGTAACTTCCTTCAAAAGTTGAATTAAAAAGGGAAAAAAGAAACACTTTGATCAATCCCATAAGATTTTACTGATTTAGTTGTCTTTTTTCGAGTTCTTCGATGAACTGGTAATGGAATTATTTGGACATGTTTCGCTCTGTTTCTCTTTTTCAAATTGATATGTGAGTTCCTCTGTTTGTAGCCAATTAGTTTATTGTGATCGCACAACTTCTTTCTTCACGTGTGCTCTTATGCAGCCATCTGTCAAGAATCAATGTTCATGTCAAGATTTTTAGGCAGAGCACTTTTTGCTGCTGCTAGAACAGAATCTTCTGCCGGGACAGCTGCTGCTGCTTCTGCAGCTACATTTGGGACAGGACACAACCCTCTTGAGGCATTCTTTGAGGCAGATAGAAACCCAGAGAATGACACACCTGTTGTTTACGGTACAAGCTTCTCTTTTTGCTACATGAATACTCGTTTCACATGCCTGTTTGGTTAAGAAGGAAAGACTACATGATGCTTGACAAGATCTGAGTGGGAATGTGTTGAATTTGTAGGAGGCCAAGTACACATTGGAAGTTGCATGAGATGATATATATGCTTATCTTCTGTAATGAACAGCTTTTAGCTACAGCTGACCATCACACGGCCTATTCAGCCCCCGAAAACAAAAAGACCTGTGCCGGGCCTATGTGCTTATCACATAGCCACAAACTGGCATTTTGAAAGGGGAGCTTATGTGGTAGAGTGTAGAGTAGACTGTCTGTTCCGGTTATTACAGCGATTGAATTCATCCAGGCCATGAATATGTATAGTTTCTGCCATCATCTTGCAAATTGGCAGTGCCACCACTAGGAAGGGATTCAATTTTTGATGTAAATACTATCTTAAATCAAACTATAAACAAGCATTTCGAAAAGCTTCATATTACAAGACTAGTGGCTTTATGTGTGCCCGTTGAAATGACTGAGATGTGCAACAGTGCAAGACGGGATATTGGGTGTGGTTTGTCTGTGTTGGGGAGATGGGGTATGTCTAGGCTGTATTAGACTATGCATTGTGTAAATACTTGCTGAACTTCAGTAAATGAGCTTGTATGACTGACCTAGAATTATACTTAAAAGGCATACTATGGGATTGTCTGGTTCACTAATAAATGTTATGATACGGGGTTGTGTGGTTCACTCATAGGAGGCATAACATGGGATTGTCTGGTTCAGTCCCACGGTACAGACTCAATTCCACGAATTGAGTTTATTCAAGTTGCTAAATTCAGTGTCAGCTGGGGAACTTTTTAAGGATATCTATCTGGTCAAGAATTGGGGAATCTAAGATATGATTTGGGATTGAACAGGCAGCTCGAATATGAAGATTCAGTTCAATTATTGTTGTAAGCTAACAGGACTCAAGCACAGTAAATGTGCATCTTCATGTAAAGTATTTGATTAATTTGCTCACGAGTAACCTAATGATTGCCTGAAGTTATAATGAAGATGTGGGTGATTAAACATTCATCAGGGTCTTAATACACTACCCTCCCAGAAAGTATGATGGTGCTAATGATGATCTTGCACGATTCTTCCTTTTCAGCCTATCCATTCATTAGATAGATGAGATCGCCAAGGACTTGATTTGTTCTGTTGGCCAACAACACCATTTAAAGCTTTATCTCTTAGAGGGTCTGATACGAAGCCATTGAGCTGTCATTTATAAATCCTCATTCTCTGTGATGGATAATGTGTACTTGCGATTGAATGTTCTTTCCTCCCTCGGTGGTTTATAATTTTCAGGTCGAAGTTGGAAGGCTACTGAACTGCGCCTAAAGTCGTGGAACGATCTTCACAAGCTTTGGTATGTTCTGCTCAAGGAAAAAAACATGCTGATGACTCAACGGCAGATGCTTCATGCACAAAATCTGAGGTTTCCCAATCCAGAACGCCTCCCCAAGGTGGATGTTGGTTTTGCTCCTTTTCTTTTCCGAATGTACACATCATTTCTCAAAAGTGTTCTTTCATGCCATGACTGGCATCAGGGTGCTCTGAACCAAATAAAAGTTGGGAATAAGTTTTTTGTGCTTCTTCATCCAAATCGATGAAATAACATTGTTGCTAATAGCATTTCTTTATTGTCAATGGATTCAGGTGAGGAAATCAATGTGCCGTATCAAGCACGTGCTCACTGAGAGAGCAATTGAAGAACCAGATCCCAGGAGGTCTGCTGAGATGAAGAGGATGATAAATGCTTTGTGAGAGCCGTACGAGTTTTTCCCTATCCTGCAAGGTGATGGAGACTATATCGTACTAAACCCGCAAGCCTGCAAGCTTTTGTCGAGTGACCTTCGCTTCTTTAGTATTTCAGAAACAAGAAACAGATTGTTAACCTGCCAATGATCTTCTGAATGTTTTTTTCTCTTTGATCTCCACATAGGTCAGAGTACATGTCGATCTGGTGAAACACTCTCTTATTGTTTATGACTCATGATAATGGGGTGGAGATGCCCGCTTTATGAAAAAGCATGCACGATATCACATAATGATATGTGCTTTTCGGCCTGATAGATCGTTCTCCCTGGTGCTTACTGTTCGCATGATTTGATTTGTGAGAATTATGGTATATGGACGTGTGGTTTTCATCCATCTCAAATATTGTTCTTATTATCAATTTTCCTCAGGGAATTTTGTTAATTATACTTAATGAGAAATATTATGATTTTCAAATTATTGATCACGCATGCCCGGAGAAAAGCAATGCATCGGGAACCGCGGATTTTTCTTATTTACTTGCTTAACTAGCAATTTGTTTATTTCGTGATAATAATCTTAGGCCCAAAGAGTAGTTTTTTTATTTTGTAAATAATAATGATTTGGAAAAAATTTCTGAAAATGATTGTTTGTATCATTTATGTAAATGAACGAACAAAATGTTCTGCGGTGGATGAACGATGCTCTAGAGAATTGATTCAGCAGTTTCTGATAGCGCTTTGCTTTAGCAGTTTCTGCATGATTGCAGAATGGTAAGTCCTATGCTTGAGTCGGTATCAGCACCTAGCATCCTGTGAAGCTTTGAACTATCATTTCTTATCAGGACTCAACTCGATAGAGTTCAAACCACACTGGTGAGAACAGGATATAACTAAAGAAGATATGATACCCACAAAACTAGTATTAAGAAATTGAATTTCACTCCTTTTTTTTTCTGTAGAATAGTCAATGCTTTACACAACCAAAAGAGGGAAATCAGTGGAAAGAAGGAACTTCATCAGTTATCGCCACAAGTTGGTAAAACGAATGCTAAGGGAATAAAACTGAAAACAGGCCATGCAAGTGGAAAAATTATCTACATAGTACGCACATGAACAGCTAACTAGCCAGTCTGATGATGAACCAATCCTAGTCAGTGTTCACACGGAGCCGTTACCAGAAGTGCCAGCAGACGTATACATCCTAGCAGATTAGGCGCAATTCACTTTAGACATGCGAAGCTCCTACCCCCAAAGATGTTCCTGCAATCCGCACAAGCACTGGCATATGTTACTACAGTTGGACAGAAAAGAACAGGCAGCGATCAACTCTAAAAGACTTTTGCCCCTTTAACTCAAAATATAAAGCCTCAGAAGTACAGAAATTGAATAGAGGCAAAGGGAAGAGAGAATGATTATTGCCCTTCCATCTGAAAAGTACCATAAAGATTTTTTTTCTTTTTCGTTTTTCTTTTAGTTAGGGGTTGGGAAGGAGAAGCATAATGTATGGGACGCACCCAATGCAAGGTTGTCCTTTCCTCTCACAACTTTGGTCACCAACACAATTGATGCACCAATCCATTCACGAGCGTAATATACTGGAAGCATCTTATGCAATGTTGTTGTTTCCTCTCATTATTTTCATCACCAAACACTATTTATCGCCATTTCCATTTCCATTCATGAGCATGTTTGGTTCTTGCAGCATTGCCACCTCCCTAGCTTCACTCCATTCAAAATCTCATCCACCTCTCTTAAGATAGATACATTGACATGGCTACGCTATTTTTCACCACATTATTGTGCTATATCCATTGTTGTGGTCACGGAACATTCATCCACAAATTGGTAGTCGCGAGACTTCACGGGACTTTGACAGAATAAATGGAGGCATTAACAGCAAGAGGAAAAGGTCTAGAAGCAACAAGTATGTAAAGAGTTAAGGAAGTTTGAAATCTGAGATCATACAGACAATTTAGACTTTGGTATAACATGATAATGGCCAGGCAACCATGCACGGCAAAGCTGAAGAATTACTACAAGGATGAAGGTTATATAAAAAGCATTTGTTTGTTTGGTTTCTCAAATGTTTCTGTTAGAAATGTCGAAAGCATATTTCAAATTAAAAATTAAGAGCGAATGAACCAGAGAGTAGTGAAAAAAAAGGAGGACCGTGGGACAAGCCAAATTTAGACCGGCAGTGTAGGGTGATTTGAGGTGGCTCATTCTTTTTAACTTTTTACTTCTACTTCTAATATTTTAGATATAAGTTCTATATCAATGATTTCAAGTATTTATGTTCAGTTATAACGAATAATTCTCGTCATATTCTAATAGCCGTTTTTTGAGTAAACATTTGTGCACTCAATTTCAAGTTGATATCAGAGTCAGAAATCTCCAGTTCAATTCCTCACACTCTCCTTCACCCATTTATGAGTTTCCATTTCATTATGGGTGGCAGGGTCAAGCAATTATTTCACTCACCCGTATCAGGTTCCAACTAAAGGCCTTCATCATCAAATCAACCTTCATTGAAGGAACAGTGTTAAGCTAACACATATGTTTCGTGCTGTATTTTAATAACTTAAACTTTTGGAGTAAATGGTTATGCACTTATTTCAAGTGCTTAGAAACAAAAAGATCAAAACCAAAATTCATCTGAAATCATGTGATATCCATACATTTTTAATGACGAGAAAACCCACATGAGATAAGTAAACCTCAAGCTAATGAAACACCCCACTAATTTCATGGGCTAGGTAGAATGTAACCCAAATCCTTAAGTGGCTCAAACATGTAATCATTTACACGTGGAGGTGTGAAAAAATGAAATTGTGCCATGCCCCCAATTCATACACAGTAGTCCAAACTGTTAGGGAAGAGAGACATCACTACCTTTTGACTTATGAGATGGCAACCCTAACAAAATGGTTAGTTTCTACAACTGATAGAAGGATCGTTGGGGTCAATAGGAGCAAGCTGAACCACCAAAAGCTTACATGCATTATAAGGGAAACCGGGATCTATGTGAAGAGATCAAAATGTTTAATAGATACTAGTGGCTGTAGATCACAGGTCAAACCTAGGTTAGGTTGATCATGATAAGCAATTCAACAGCTGAATAGAAGGGGGAAAAAGTTCAAGCAGTTGTTTGACCACTAACTAGGGCATAACCAATGTACTAAGTAGCTGTCAGAGGTGAAGAACCAGAAGCACAGAAAATTCAAAAAGAAGGCAGTGGAAAAATTTGAGAGGACTATTTTCGATATCCTACCTCCTTCTAAATAGAAAAAATATTCTAGACAGTGCTTTCTGAACCAGTGATGTGAAAACCAGTAGAGGCAGGTGACAGTTGAACTGGTTCACTTGTCAATTTTATACTTGCGGATGTCATCAATGATTTAACTCTTTTAATAATGCTAAACAAAACCGCCCTCTGCCAGAAAGGGCAAATGTACGAGGCCTTTCAAATTAATGCGATGGTGGTTTAACTGCAAGCCTTTGTGATTTTTGTGAAAACAAGTCTCTCTCAAACTTGCTAAGAGATGAATATAGATAACCACTATTATTTGGTTCCCACAGACTCAGACTTGACCCAAAACACCCACAATTATACATGCTGCAGAGTAAACTGCACTAGATATTAACTTCACAGTTAATTTAATAAGCCTCAGATGTAGAGAAATTCCAGCACTCACATGAAACATCCTCGACGTGGTTTTTTCTTCTTCCTCTCCTTTTGCTTCTGTGGTGGTTTGATCACTACCCTGATTGCAGCATCAAATACTCCCTTAACATTCTGCATTTGCATCAGAGAGCAAGCATCAGTATGCTAATGTATTTATGCATCAGATCAGTAGCATAGTGATATCACTCGAAATTACAAGTCTGAGCAACAAGAAAAAATAGCACCCACAATCTCAAGATATGACACGGTCAGCTACTAAGAGTAATCAAAGGTCATATAGCTAGCAAAGCAATTTACCTACAGGATCTAGTATCAGAATCCACTGAATGCTTTGGTATGGAGTTCATCAGATGACACCCTAAGGACAGGTAAAGTAACCCTTATTCAACTTCAGGAAACCCTCATTGATGTTCACTTAAAATCACTATTAAGTTCATACACTACTACAAGCAAGTTTCAGGAGCTTGTTCCTTAGGAGGCAGTAAAAATTTCTTTCGTTCTTTCCCTTTGTGGCAGACAGGTTTGGGTCAGTCATTAATGTTTGACAATTTCCTTTCATCTTTTCATAAAATAGAAGTCAATCATTTCCCACACCCTTACATTTTAAACCATCACAACGCTAGACCAACCGAATGATGTGACGAAAAAAATCGCATACAGCAATAAGGCTACTCTGTACTTTACCTGCTGAGTTTTTGAACTGCATTCTATGTAATAGGTGGCACCAATCTGTTTGCGCAGTTCCTCACCCTGAGTATAAAAAACGGCAATCAACAATAGGGAATGATGTACACCATAAGGAAAATATTGCTGACTGATAACAGAAACCTAACTTGAGAAGTGGTCACAGGAACCAGTCCAGGATGGTCAGCCAAATAGTGTTTATCCTCACGAAGATCTACATGTCAATAGAAAAGCCAGAACCCAGTGAGAGGCATTAGCAAGTGCATGAGTGGGTGATATCCACCAATGAGCAATGAAATAACAATATTCACTTAGTTGTGTATTGTACCCAACATTCAGAGATACAAGAAGCAACAGAAACCAAAATAAAACCCATTTTGAAATCTGTCCGCTACTGTGAAAATAAATTCTTTCCACTCACCCATTTTGGTTCCCACAAGGACAATAGGAATGCCAGGAGCATGATGCTGGAGTTCTGGGATCCACTGGCCGAGACAGGATTGGAAAGTTGAGATACACGCACAACAAGAAAAAATTTAGGAAATTAAATGCGCCAATTCCCAGCTTACCTTCTTCAGGACATTCTCGTAACTAGCACGGCTAACTAAAGAAAAGGCCAAGACAAAGACATCAGCTCCTCTATAGCTCAAGGGCCTTAATCTATTGTAATCCTCCTGCCCTACACAATGGTAAAAGTATGTCACGGGACACAATGCCATGATCCACACGGCAAATTAGTTGCTGTAAACCCAAGTATTTTTTTTTTCCCGACCAAAAAAAAAAAACATATATATGAAAAACTGGAATTGATCTGGAAGTCCAAAATCCTCACCAGCTGTGTCCCAAAGACCCAAGTTGACAGTGATGCCTTCAACCACTACATTAGCGCTGAAATTATCAAATACCGTGGGTATGTAGTCCTGATAAATTCACAAATGGTTAGATTGGAAATACAAGAAACGCTACAAAGTGGTAAAAAAGGGACTGCTCGACGAAAGCTAAGAGCCTGCATAAAATACAATAAAGAAGAAAAAAGATAAAGAAGAAAAAGGAAGAGACCTCCACACAAACACGTAATTTTAGTGAAATCTGAAAACAATACTGAACAACACTCCGGTGATGATAAATTATCGACGGCAATGATGCGGTGTGTGAAAAAGTAACCCCTAGAAAAAGAAAATGCCCAGTGAAGAAAGAAGTAAAGAGAAAGCAATCGGTGGTGCTACGAGGAAAAGGCAAAAAGCTGCAAAACCCAGAAACAGGGACCAATAAAGTCAAACGGAAGCACCCAGAGAGAAATCTTTCGGGGGAAAACAAAGGCACATACAGTTGGGAACTTGTTGCTGGTGTAGCAGATGAGCATGCAAGTCTTGCCCACGGCCCCATCACCCACCGTCACGCACTTGATGAATCTTGATGCGTTCGCAGCCATCCGAAGAAGCGTCAAGAGAGAGACAGAGAGAGACAGAGGAGGAATGGAAGAAAGCTAAATTCGGGAATAGGATCAAAACCCAAACAACTGCGGTGGGTTAGGTGGGGAAGGATTTAATGAGGGGGGGTTTCTTGAATTCAAAGGGACAAGCGAGTCAGTGTGTTGTGTTGTGTTGGGGTGGATCACATGATCCTCACTCGCGCTCACTGTCTCCTCCGCCGCGGGCAGCAGAGCAGGAGCAGATCGTCCCTTCCGCCCGTCCTTCCGTTCTTGAAGATCACCACTGGGCGAACCGCAACTGGGTCTCTCCTCCGGCCATGGGATTCCCCTCTTGATTCCGAACTTCCCTCAATACAATATTACCCTGTTCCGAACAAGACCCAACTTGCCCATTCGTCAATCTGACGTCCACAGATAGAGAGAAAGACAGAGAGGCGCAGGGTGGACCGTCAGTAGAAAGAGAGAGAGAGAGAGAGAGAGACTGGGGTGGACTTGGGTATCTTCCAAGGCGTCCGTCCAGTCAACTTTGCCAATGCCAAGCAAGCCCCTCAGTCCTCACCAGACGAACACTAAAGAATAGTGCTTTTAGGGAACTTTATGCAAAGCAATAATCTTTTGGCCGGGATTATATCTTTCTCTTCCCGATTTCTAGCACGAGCGATTTAATAAATTCTTTATGAAAAAGAAGGCCTTGACCTCAAATGCTTACTCCAACCAATAATCACACTCGTTAAAAATCTCCCCTTTTTCTCTGGCAAACGTTTGTTTATTCTGCTGGCAACGTATGTTTACTCTGATCTAATGTAGCAGCACAAGGTAACTCTAACAAAGTCGTCAAAAGACTTTAGCTCCATAAATTGCAATTTTTACGCCGAGCCCCGAAAACCTCGGCACCAGAAAGCAGCTCATGGTGTACATGAGTATGATTCAAGCAAGCGATCGCGCTGTTTAAGGATTTTTAAGTCCAGTACTGTAATATGGGAAAGGACCATCCATAGGATTCTTCAAGGTTGCCACTTTTAAATGAGCCAAAGTGAAAAAAATTTCACGCACTTGTTGCCATATCACATGATATGACCCGACGTTTTCTCTTGATTCAGGCAACATGACAAAAACACATGCCCGTGAGTTTGGCGACTGATGGGGCGAGACAGGAGGAGGAGGAGAGTCAATGCAGTAACCGAAATGAACCGATCGGGAAACGCTTGACATGAACAGCGTTCACGGTCCCCCACTCATTTATGAGTCTAACCACACAGAGGTCAAGGACCAACGCGTACGATCAGTGGACCCATCAACGATGAACACTGACATGATACAACCATTGATCCCTGAAACATTAATGACTACATAAGACGAACCGGTGGAGACCTTACGGACCACAAGCATTTCTTTACCAGCAGACCTATCGAAACAACAATAACTTGCAAAGATGAGAGAGAAAGAAAGAGAGCTTCATTTGTTCTTTTTGTTATACGAAGTGCGATTCGATGATTTCTTTCCGCTATCAAATATCCCACGAATGCAACTTTACTACATAGAAGCAACTTTTAATCGATGTCCCGGACAAGTCATTATTTTTTACAGTCCGTGCCTATCTTGATGACCACCTCTAGCATCGTTTGTTTCTTAATCTTGTGAAACACAGAACTGAAGTACCTTCTGTGGTTAAGAGATTTATCAAAAGAAAATAAAGCTTGGTGTGCAAAAAGGGAGAGAGAGAGAGAGAGAGAGTTAGTTCAGGACCAACCAGTCAAAAGATAACTCTAAAGATTGACAAAGTGAAAAACTTAAATAATTACAGGGCTTTAAGAGAGTTGGTGGAAGGCATAAGTAAGGTTTAAGCAATGATGCCAAATCACACATCCGTGCAATGGGCACGTCCTGGGATCAAAGCCATGAGGAAGCAATGGGATCCGCAGGATTCTAATAGCCGGAGAAACAGTAAGCAATAATAACAAGTGAAAAGATTCTTCTTTTACCATCACTGCCGGGTAAATTATCTTCCTGCCCTGGCAAAATGAATTTTGGTCCTGGAATAAACCTCTGTGGAGATGAAGAGAATGAGATGGGAATAGGGAGATATTCACATATAATCCTATCCCAGAAGCCTGTCAAGCCATCTAAAATTATGCTCATTGTCACATGTCATTAGCAATCTAGCATTCATGTAGATGGCCTACCTTCAACAGGTAGCAGGCTACCCAACACAACCGCATGCTGCAAGTATCTAGTACGGAGAAAGGCAAGCGCCGCGTGATTGCCTGGTCATGTAGTGCAAATAGGTACTTCATCTTTAGTTAGCCCCAAGAAGGAGCTTTATACTACCAGCTCAAGAATCGAACAACATATACAGAAAAGCGCCCTGGAGCCCCCGAACGAATACTGAAACCATTTTTCACTATATGCTCGTGAATAACTCATACAAGATGAATATGCAGATCAAGGCCGAGTCCACCTTTCTTATACAAAGCATTACAATCAACAGGGAAAACAAAAGCAACATCGCAATGCACTTCTTTTCTTTTTGAGTAAGTACAACTTCACAATGCACTTACCAGTTCTATCTGGACCAACAGAGGGACACGGTCATTCCTAGACAAGATTGAGGTAATCGCTTTTATGAATAGCTGACCGCTTGTCAATACTTGTACTAAGGATAGCCCCATTGCATGTGCACACCTTATAGATAGTAGAACTAATACTGCCATCTAAGATACTTATTGCACATAATTTTGAATATTTTGCACAAGGATTGGCATACATGAGGGAAAAATCTTAAATAGAAGAAACTAAGCAGCTTAATTTATATACACGTGGCTCTCAAGTAACGGGGTTTTCTGGGAAGGTGATTGCAGCTCACCACTTGCACAATTTCTACCATCCTCTTCTTCTTGAGACATCGCCCAAATAACCCCATAAAAGCCAGCCACTATTACAACAGCTCCTACGATACTGCACACAAAAGCATAAAAAAATATGAACGCTCTAGACATTCTAAGCAGTGCGCAAAGTTTGATCAGCAGGGATTACGTCATCAATAATTTCGAGGAAGCTCATTATCCGGGGAAAATGGGTCTTCCAAATCATCAGAAACAATAATATCAGGAAAAGAAATCGTTAAATAAAAGAATTTTTCTCTTAGTTGGCCATAGCCAATCTCCATAATGCCTCATTTGAGCTCCTCAGCGTGTAAGTGAGGCTTGAATAAGAGTTGAAGTACTTCCTGCATCTTGACGACATCTATTTAACCAGTTGCTGATTGATGCCATATATTTCTACCGGGCTAATTCCAAAAAAGAGCACAAACTTTAGGTCGAGTGACAATTCTGGCCCAAACTTTCTTTTGTCCAGTAAAAAAACACCAACTTTAGGTCGAGTGACAATTCTAGCCCAAACTTTTTTTTGTCTCATAAAAAATCACCAACTTTCAACCTTATCCCAAATCTGGCCCCCCGTTGACTTTCTTTATGAAGTCATCACTGTTTGAGAAAAAAGGTTATGGTCATGAACTTGGCAGCCATGACGTCTATCGACGGGCGGTGGTCTACAACTTCAAATTATGACAAAACGACGAAGTCTGACCAAAGAGATTCAATCTGGACATCTTTTTGACTTGCCGGTGAAGTGAAGGAGATGAACAGTTTCACCGTTATTCTTCAAGCTGTGACTCAGAGAAGAAGACAATGAATAGTGTTTTAAATCCAGTCAGCAAGCCACGTGAATTTATTGCCGAGGTGGAATAGTCAAGTTGGATAATCAATGGTTCAAAATCAAGGGGGGCCAGATTTGGGATTTAAGTGAAAGTTGGTGATTTTTTATAAGACAAAAAAAAGTTTGGGCCAGAATTGTCACTCGACCTAAAGTTGGTGCTTTTTTACGAGACAAAAAAAAGTTGGGATCAGAATTGTCACTCGACCTAAAGTTGGTGCTTTTTTTTTGGAATTAGGCCTATTTCTACCATATTATTTCTCTGAAACTGGGGTGATGGCTTAACAATGTACTTGACCAGATGTAAATGCTTACTAATAAATCTCACAAGCCAATCACTTACCCAATCTACTCGATAGAGGATCTTGAAATAATTGACCATCACTTAAGTTTCACGACTGTCTTCTGATGCTATAGAATGTAAACTATCAACAGCGCAGAAAATAATAGAGGAAAGCGCAATAGATTCGAGACATGCTACTTCCTTTCCAAATATTTCTTATGCTTTGCCGGTTTCCAAATATAGCCTTTGTGTAACACTCAAACATGTTTGTCGCCTCAAAATATTTATTGATCTCATATTGACTTCATCTATTGAAATGATGACCAACTTAACAACATCTATGATACTAAATGATTGACAGCAAGTTGGGTTGGGTGGCTGTGGAGAAGGAAGTAGGGGGTGATGACGGAGGTTCTTACCTACCGACATGGAGGGAATCACCAAGGAAGATGGCACCCATCATGGCAGCTATACCGATGCTTAAGGGTTTAAACATTGCCACAAAAATAGGGCCTTTTTTGTGTATGCACCAGGAACAAACGCAAAAGGTCACCACATTCCCAACTACAGCCTTCGGAGAAAGGGCGAAAATGAAAACATGTGAGTTTTACTGCAAGCTGGTAAACAAGATTTGTCAAACATGAAAGTTATATAAATGCTCACTGCGTAGATGACTGCAATGAGCTCAATACTGGGCCTTAGATTCCAAGCTTTTGGATCTCTTTCTGCAATTAGAGCAACTACTGCACATTGAAGGGTCCCAAAGAAGCAACAGAAGGAGACCAAAGTCACCTCCGACGGATACGATCTCAGAACTGCTGCCTTTAAATGAACAGCAAAAGTCAGTTAGCCCCATTTCCCTGAGAAAAAGCAAAGAAAGTTCGCACACTACCTGCGCTGTATTCCACGTTGCCAAAGATAAACCAGCGGCCGCCAGGAACATGCCACCAATAACCCAATTAGGGACGTCGGCCAGCAAAGCTTTGCTGGGTTGTGAAGTTGAAAAGCTCTCATCAGGGTAAGGAATAGCAGACATGCCACCGCCAATTACAGGACCTTTATACAGTGTCACGATCAAGGCTCCAGAAATGGATACCACGGTGCCAAGAATTTTAATTTGGCTTCTTGAGCTCCTGAAGTCCAATTTTTCAATCCTACAAGAGCGACAAAAGAAGATTTCACCAATCTGACTCGCAAAGATCGCTATTTAGATACCGAATTCCAACTCGGATATATCGATTTTCTAAATTAGCCAGAGTTCCTATCGAAATTGCCAAGGTATTCCTCATTTCTACTTTTGCTACTTGAATTGTAGGCCTATTTGATCACTCGTGCATGAGAATAATGCCCAAGTTGCAATGGTGCTAAAATGCGGCAAAACGAAGGCGAACCTGAAGCTAACCGCGAGCAAGAAGGTGAAAGCAGGCACTAAATTCCCCATAGCAGACGCAAGCGTGGGCGAACTGTAGCTAACTCCAGCGAACACACAGTTCTGCATCGCAGTGATCCTGCAAAACAGAGCGCGCGCGAGCAGAACCGTCGATCAAAGGCAGAGAACCAGAGACAGAGCAACCCCGACACACTTAGCTCGCTCCATCAAAGCTCACTTACCCAACGAGAGCGAGGAAGAAGAACTTGCAGAGCACCGAGAAGGTCAGGGGAGGCCTCTTCTCCCTGCACAAAGCTCGCACAAAAACAACCACCGCCGGTCACTACTGCACCGGCGGGCTCCGGCGACCCAATGGCGACTGAACGGAGGAGAAGAAGGGTACCTGTGGATGAAGGAGAGGGGGAAGAGGAGGAGGGAGGCGAGGGCGTTGGAGTAGACGAGGAAGACGAAGCGGCTCATCCCTCGGGACATGGCCGCCTTGCTCAGCGTCGTCAGGCCCACGTCGAGGCACTCGATCGCCACCATCGCCGCCAGCGGCAGCGACCGGAGCAGCCACGGCGTCGCTTCCATCTCTCCCCGTCGCCTCCGAGGCGTCGCCGTCAGCGCCGAGAGCTGGCTAAGGTTAGCCAGTAGAAGAAGGAGGATTGCGGCCCTTCTTGAGCTCCTCCCATTGGTTGGCGAAGTGAAGAGAGAGACGACAAGAACATTAATTTCTTCGAATAGAAAAATGTTTTGAGATATAATACGAATCATAGTCCAAAAAAAAATTGAAATTTTAGGACTTAGGTGCACCGTTGCATCGAGCTTCAGGACTTCTAATGAAATTGTTCTGAAAAATAACATCTTTCATGGATCGTCGGACATAGCACCCCGTGAGGACTCCGATAGAGCCCATCCGCTTTGTTAGAGTCGAGCAAATTGGGCGCGATTCCTGTGGATCGCTTGTCGGTCAAAAGAGCGGTGTCGGATCGGAAGAGGCCCGTGTTTTGCCGCGGGACAGCATGGAAGTCGGTTTCGGAGCTCTGGCAGCTGCCGGGGCATCCACGGCCACAGCGGTCATCAGGGCTCTCTCTTCATCTCTCTCTCCACACGCATCCGCAACTGCTGAGAGTAAACTCAAAATGGTACTCTCTCTGTTATGGGGTCAGCAAAAGGTCAACCATACAGTAATCATGTATTGAGGTATGCACACACTGTTTCCGTTTCTTTTCAAGTACTTACAGAGACTTAGAATGCAGAGGTGATTAACAAAGATCGAAATCACCCAGTGAGTCAAAAACTGTTTCTTTTACGCCGAAAACAGCTGATTCTGGAAAGACATTAGCTGGAATACAACGGTGAATATTCATTCACTAGAAATGTCGCGACTTGTTAGTTTAGTAGATTGGTATTGACCTACTTAAGTAATGTACTTGAAGAAGCAAAATGTATGATTTCGTGCAACCTTTCACCTTTAGTCAGTATACTGTACTTTAGCATGCACTGCTAATCTTATTCAGTTTTTGTAGATGCTTTGACCACTGGGTCTTTGTGCCTTTCTGGAGAATGATTTTTGTGTATGTTTAGATTCCAATCAAGCTATGTGTACAGGGCACAGGCTCAGTTTAAGTAGAGTCCATGAGGATATTAGAACGAGTACGTGGTCGAAGATGATTGCGAGGTTCCAAAGATACAGATTGCCTTTCTTTCTCGATACTGGTTGTACACACCAGCCAGCAAACTGACTGCTGAGTTTGTGGAAGCAGATCGGGCACGATGTAATATGAAAATGCACTGCAATGCTCGGTAAGCGATTTCTGAATGACCAACATCGTTCAATTGATGGATCAATGCAACCCAGACTGCCAGAAGCATTCTTGCTTTAGCAGAAAGACTGAAATTCGGGTTTTGTGGAGGATGTGGCCAGAAGCCCATAATTGCTTCCTTAAATTACTCGACCTATGCATGCGGAAGTATGACGTCCTAAGGCCTGCCGATAATACGTTATCCCGCCCGGATTACTTGTTCTAATTGATGTCTTAATATTTGGACGTACTCTGCTTGGACATGTCTGGTGTGTAAAACTTTTGTGTAAAAATGGACATCACCACTTTGTCTCCTTCCCCGTGTTTGAGTGTGTCGTGTTTTGTGCTAAGACACAGTCACGACTAAGGGCGATCGAGGGCGAGTGAGCAGACCACAGCCATAATCATTAGTAGGCCGCTGAAGTATGACCGGTAGTTGGAATTGGTCAAATGTTGGTATAAAATGATTCTTGTCACTTAGATATTGTCACCGAGTTCTTGTTCTCCTCTCAAATTGGGGCTCCCCGTTGTACTCTCACGTGCATATATTCTGGCAACACAACTTTATCATTACTCCTGTCTAGCTGAACCGGTACGTCTTGCTCTGCAACTTCAAGCTTTCGTCCGAAGAAATTCGCTTCTGTTGTTTGATTTGCTTAGGAAAATGCAGGGGCTCTTTAATTGTTCCGGTTTGTCACATTCTGTTTAGCCCATAGACGGAACGAATGCATTATTAGCATTGCTATGGAGAAAAATCTAAGAACTCAGCATAATCCCGGACTCTCCTTAAAATATAAACATGAAGTTCTTGATCAGCTAGTACTGTGATTAAAATAATGCTTGCTCATGCCATCAATCAGTAATGTCAGGCGACGTGCCTGTTCAGGACATCTGAGTATGGATAATTTAGACCATTTCAGGCGCCGGCTCTTGGTTAAAAAATTACCTTGGATATGCCTTTATCTCACTTTCGATTCCTTCTTTTCGATCTCAGAATCTTTCTGTGTATGCTCAGCCAAATTTCAAACATCACCAAACCTTGTCACGGCCTCCTTGTTCCACAATGCCAAATAGCCGAACCCGCTTGAGTATAAAGATTTTGGCAGATGCATTTATCAAATCTCCAAGCCACTTCTACTAGCTTCAGTTCTTTCCCAAAATGGAGCGAGCGGCCATCTGGGCACTCCTCATTCCAATTTCTCTTCTGTTTGCATCAGCAGCTTCAGAAGCAGATGACACAAAGCGATCGTTAGTTCGATTCATGGAACAACTCTCACCTGCAGATAATGCAAATAGAAATGAGAGCTGGGGCTGGAACATGAATTCAGACCCCTGCACTCACGGATGGGTGGGCGTTACTTGCGATTCGCACACACAGAGTGTACTAAAAGTCATCCTCGACGAGCTCAATCTCATTGGAACATTCGATGCTGGTTCTCTCTGCAGTGCAAGATCGATTCAAGTCCTAAGCCTCAACAACAACAGTATAAGTGGAGAAATATCTGAAGAGATTGCGAACTGCAAGCATCTGACCCACTTATACTTAAGTGGCAATCGGTTCACTGGACAACTCCCTAAAAGCATTCCTCACTTGAGTAACTTAAAGAGGGTCGACATATCGAACAATAACTTCACTGGAGAACTGCCAAGCCTGCATAAAATTCCCGTGTTGCTGTCATTCCTAGCTCAAAACAACCATCTCAGTGGGAAAATTCCGGAGTTCGAGTTTGCCAAGATGGAGGTGTTCAATGTCTCTGACAATGAATTTAGCGGCCAAATTCCCGACGTAAGGGGCCGTTTTAGTGCAGACAGCTTTTCGAGAAATCCCAGTTTATGTGGGCAACCGTTACCGAATCCATGTCCCCCGCCCCTTACATCAAAGGCTGCATCAAAGAAGTGGTCGACAGATCGCTTCCTAATATACACTGGCTACGCATTCCTTAGCTCGGTGATAGGACTCTTCATCGTTTACAAAATAGTAAGTAAAAGCAAGTCAAAAGATGAGAAGACTGATGATTTAGAGACGTCTGAAGACGACATGGACGATAGTAGCATCAAGATGAATGCCACTTCTGGTGATGATTTTAAAACCGGTGAATATAGGTCAGAGTACTCGATGATTTCTATGGATAGTGGAGTGGCACCTGCATCTCTCGTGATTCTCAATAGTTCTTTGGTGAAGGATTTGAAGTTTGAGGACTTGCTCCAAGCTCCAGCTGAGTTGCTCGGGAGGGGAAGGAACGGGACGCTCTACAAGGTCATGATCAACAATGGCGCCACATTGGTTGTGAAGAGGATCAAAGAGAGGGCAATCTCGAGCGAAGTGTTCGAGAGGAGGATGCTGAAGATAGACCAGGCAAAGCATCCGAATGTACTAGCGGCAGTGGCATTTTATTGCTCAGAGCAAGAGAAGCTCTTGGTGTATGAGCATCAATCCAATGGCAGCCTCTTCAAACTCCTCCATGGTAAGTTGAATCGCTTCATTCTCGAGCGATAACTCCCACTAATAGGATCTAGAAGTAGACGATCGATTGCTTCAACATGTATATTCATCAGATTTTTACACTGGCATTGTTGATTTCAGGGTCTAAAGATGATAACTTTGACTGGGGAAGCAGACTGAACATAGCATCCAGAATAGCTGAGGCCTTGGCATTCATGCACCGGGAACTTCATGAAGATGGGATTGCTCATGGCAACCTCAAATCCACAAACATTTTGTTCGACCAGAACATGGATCCGTGCATCAGTGAGTACGGAATAATGGCCACTGAGAACCAAGAACAGCCAGATCTTTCCCGAAGCGTAAGTTTCACAAAGATCACACCAGCCCAAGAACGTGAAAGTGATCATATTTTCTTTAGGGATGACATATACAGCCTCGGTGTGATTCTTCTGGAGCTACTGACAGGAAAAATGGTCCAAGATGGGGGATTCAACTTGGCGACATGGGTGCACTCGGTGGTTCGGGAGGAATGGACCGCGGAGGTGTTCGACCGGGCCCTGATCACGGAAGGTGTCAACGAGGAAAGGATGGTGAACTTTTTGCAAGTAGCACTGAAGTGCGTTGCGTCCTCTCCGACCAAAAGGCCAAGCACCAAGGAGGTTTCGGCTATGATAAACGTGATCAAGGAGGAGGACGAGAGATCGATCGCCTCGGAGTCGAGATCATTCAAGTTGTAAAATGTGAAGGAGCACATGATGACTGATGAGTAATAAGCATTTGCTAGAGAAAACTGATTGTCAATTCTCACGTCCTTCTGTATCTGCTTCTGTCACTGCACTTGTTGCTCAACCATAGGAAATATCTAATTTGATATTGTGGGAGTATTGACTATTTGAGTTATAATTATGATTGGATGATTGCAATGTTATTTGAGCCACATTCTTTTTGGTATCCTAGAGGGATAATCAGTATAATAAACAACATATTTACTAAATCCGGCACAATTTTACTGCTACTTGGCTCCCATGATAAATAGTAATAAATTGTAAGCATCCTCTTATTCAATTCACCGACGGTGCGTTTGGTAACGCATTTGGGGAAAGCCTTTAGGATAATGTAAAAGATTTTAGGTGAAAAGAGTTTATCCAAAATGTAAATAATGTTTGGTAAAGTATAATGTAAAAACACATTCGGAAGCAACTTTGACTTAAATACCGTTTGAAAAAAACTACACTTTTAAAAAAAATCTCAACCGTTTGCCAGGGAAACTCGAGCCGCCGGCCAGCCTCGCCTGAGGTTGCGTAACCCTAGGTGACAGTCGCATTAGATCCCTTGTTATATTCAAGTGAGTAAGAGAGGAACTAGGCAAGGGCTCCTTTTATGGGCTCGTCCAAAGAAGTTTTAGGTTTCGGATCGAGCCTAAGCCCTGCTAGCCTAGCTCAACCCCCAGCCCAGCCTAGCCAATTTGATCACCCGTTGCCCAACAAAACTTGACTTATCAGTTGAGCCATGTTCATCCCGTGCTGTCATGATTGGTGGAGCGTCTTGCGGTGATTAAATTTATCTGAGGCAAAGTCTTCACATCACACGGTAGTGGTTGATCTGTGAGTTGAGGTGTCAACAGCTCAGTGGACACAGCGCCACTGGTCGTGTTTGTCAAAGTCAAGATTCCAGAAGCAAATAAGAAAATGTCATCTGGGGGCGACTTCTTGTCTTGTTGGGGGGGCATCATCAACTAACCATCCCAGAGTTGTCAACGTTAACAGAAAGCGTGGAGGTTTCAGCCATGATCGCCACCTGCTCGTGTTGGCACAATCGTCATCAATCAGATCAGATACCATCCCCTGCCTGATGGGAAAGGGCTCATTTTGGTCGTCCCACCCTCGTTTATAATTCTAAAAGAAAACGATCTGGGTTACATCAAATTTTGATTTTTATCCATTTGTCATCATTTGCGTCTGCCATGTTTTGGGTTCCTGATTCAAGACAGGGACTTCACCTGATACTTCTCAGACCCCGGAGCTTTTGTCAATTGAAATTGGATGGATGGCCATGGCCATGGCCATGGTAGGACTTACATGAATCGGATGCAGGCAATGCTTGCTCCCCTGTTAGACCCGTGATCATGGGGAGGTCAAAATGTCCCTTTTAGCGAGTGATGTTTTGACCCTTTTTCGAATTTTTTGTCTTTACCTCGCCAGATCTTGCACGGCCCGAAGAAGGGGGGAAAATTTGTTTGCTTGATATGTTTTGTTGCATTGGTGGGTCGTGTGGAAACTACAGGCCAAGATGGACAGACCGACCCCTGCGGTGAAGATTAGGCAAACGCAGTGACGCAGCAAACCCCATCATTTGGTGTTGCTTTTGATAGATTCTTGATGAATAAAGAAGTCACGAACGCGACTGTAGACAATCAAGTTGTGCGTAATGGTGGACCTTTAATCATGGTTCAAATCCCCCCTTGGTCTCCCTCATCCTCCAGCCTTTTGATAAAATGTCTCTGAGCCCGATGATATGGAGGAGACCGCGAATGAGGTTAAAAGCAATCGACTTTGAGCCTTTTCTAGTGTCAGCATGACCTTTCCAACGTGATAATTCTCGGGTAGACCAGGAGTAATTCGGTGTCGCATAAGCAAGTCCGTCAAACATTAGGCGATTGTTCTCTGAATATGGGTGGTGTTAGGAGGGCAAAATCGAAAAGTTTTGGACTATCTAAGGGCGACCCAGAAGAGTTTGTCCAAGACTGTTGCGCCTGACGAAAAGAGAAAAGTGCTCATGCCCTTTGCCTATGATTGAAAATCTAGGATTTGGGGCTGGTTCTGCATGACCGCTGAGTCTCTCTTTAAAGTTTTCTACCTCAAGCCATCACACCATTCACTGCCCTTTTCTAGCTTTTCCACCTTCTTTTTTGTGACGGACTTCCCATTTTCTATATTGTATCCGAGAAACAAACAAAGATGAAAAATCCCCTGTTTCAGGGACTCCTGTGGCGCAAAAGAAATTCAAAGCAGGACCCACAGTCATCAACAAATCAGGGGCGATGGAACTCTCCTGAGGCCTTGAGAGCTGCATATTAAAATCCATGCCATTCATGCTTCCTTCTCTTCGGAAGAAAGGCAGGTACTCTTCAGCTCTGCCTTCTGTTTTTTTTTATTTTATTCGCTTTTGAACTCTGTTGCTCTTCAAATGCCCATCTTTCTTGTCCAAACAACAAGATGAATTCGCAAGGTTAGTCACTCTTCGTGCCACAAGGTCTCCATATTGAGACCATTTAGCTTTAACAAGTTGAGGTTTGATGTGATTTCCCGTTATGTAGCGTGCACTGCCGATGTTGCAATTGGTAGATACGTCCAAAGCGAGCTTTTTCGCTTCTGCTGAATTGAGTGGTCAGTCTTCCAAGTTTGAGAGCTAAAAAAAAATGTTTAGGATTGCGTATGAGAGGAAGCAACAAGATGGAAGCTTGACATATGCTCCTCCTCAGTCACCTCTCACTTCTTTGTCAAGTCCTTTCATCATGAACTACAGCACAGAATCCACTCCGGAACCATCTTCTACTCGAATTAGCCCCGCACTTCTTCTGTTCATAGTAATTCTAGCTGTTGTCGTCTTCATTTCCGGTCTGCTTCATCTGCTCATCAGATTCCTCATGAGGAGGCCATCTACATCCATCTATGACTCCACTAGGTACACGGAGAGCTCGGACTCTCATGTCCTTCAGAGGCAGCTTCAGCAGCTCTTCCGTTTGCACGATTGTGGCCTCGAACAAGCTTTGGTTGACGCTTTGCCCGTTTTCTATTACAAAGAAATCATCGGGTTGAAGGAACCATTTGATTGTGCTGTTTGTTTGTGTGAATTCTCCCAAAATGACAAGCTCAGGCTGCTTCCCACGTGTAGCCATGCTTTTCATATAAGTTGCATCGACACATGGCTTCTTTCCAATTCAACGTGCCCACTTTGTCGTGGGTCTCTCGTGAACACGGATCTCTTGGCTGGCCCGCGAGCACTCAACTTAGATGATTCTTGGAGTGTGCCCAGTGCATTTCCCATTGATGTGGAGAATTCAGTTCATTGTGGTCCAAAACTAGCTATAGATGAAGAAAAGGGCAGCCAAAAGAGGGTCTTTTCTGTAAGGCTTGGAAAGTTTAGGAGCTTAAACGAGGACGAAGAGAGCGTAGAGATAAAAGAAGAGACTAGTAGTTGCTATTTGGACTCGAGAAGATGCTATTCAATGGGTTCATATCAGTATGTGGAGGGTGATATGGATCTGCAAGTGGCTTTATCCACTTCTTGCACGCACAACAGGAGGGTTGTTTTGAAGAATGGAAATGCGAGAGGGCGACAATATCGGATCTCTTCAGGGGATGAAGAGGGGAAGAAGATTAGTGGGAGGTCAAGACGAGAAAGCTTCTCTGTTTCCAAAATCTGGCTTTGGTCTAAGAACAGCACAGGCCCGAGTTTTCCGAATGCTCATGTTGTTGTCACTCGTCAACCGGCAGGAGTACCGAATGATGGTACAATTCAGGAAGTTTGATTTTTGTTTCCAGACGTAATTTACATAGATTACTGCAGACCCCTACATTTTCATGTTTCTTCCTAGCTATCTCGAATATATTCTGAGATGTCCCATTTAGGAACCATTTAGCCTAGGTGCTGAAATGAGAGATTCTTCGGTGACTTCTCTAGTTCACATAGTAGCAATCAGGTATTTTTTCCAATAGCTATCTTCTTGTTATCTTTAATTCCTGCGAATCTCCCGGCAAATTAAAGAATCAATGAAGATGCTTGAGCTTTTCTTCTGTCTGCTTTTCTGTGGCATTTTGGAGGTAAGGGCTAACTTTATAACTTCGGCTGAATAAAGTAAGAACACATTAGACAACAATTTGGCTGAAGCATTATATGATGCATTGCGCCACGCAACGCTATGAAAGCAGTTCGAATAACCAGACCGGTTTTAACTCTGTTTATCTAGCCCTATTCTTTTCTGGCATGTCCTGCATCTTGAGCTGCACCTTCCCAGTGCCTTGCACAGTGTTTCGTCGCGCTAGCCTGGCCACCGGCCTCGCTCTTTCCTCAGGGAAAGAACTCTCTAAATCTCGCACATCGCGGGATCGTGGCTTAGATCGCCGCTTACACGCTCGAAAGTTCACAACTCGGGTCACATGTTCACCAATAAACCGGCTTAGGGAAACGTTGTACCAGTGCATCTGAAGTACGTTGAGAAAGGGAGTGAACATCAGACATTTTAGGATTGTCTGCAAATGCTTGCTCTAAGTTCGATCCGATCCATGGCCATTGAACTAAGCCCATTTCGATACGTATGCCGTGCTCATCGGGCCGTCAGAATCGGCCCATCTAGATGGAAATGCTTTCCATGTTCCTACCTGAGTGATCAACCCACTTCTGCCCACAGTAATAAAGTGAGCAATGCAATCCATGTTTTCTCATGGGGGGCAGCAAAAGTCACTAGTGAGGATTATATTCAATTGCAGATGTTGATGAGGAGATAAGGATTGAGGATATTGCTTTTCTCACGCTTGGTGTCGCCATCAAAGCTAGGCGTGGATCATTCTTGTGGGACAGCGCAATTGCTTAATCATTGACTAAATTAATCACAGAAAAGTGCCTGATGTATGAAAATTGCCTGCCCGGCCTGTGATTTCGAGGCATGCGTAAGTGCAGCTTGAAGACTGCATCTTTCTTTCCTCCTCATTGTCCTCTTTTGGACAGCCATCCATTTATATCAAAGTGCAAATTTCCAGTTCATAGCCCAATTCTTGCAACACTTATTTTTTAGGAAAAGGGCCACAAAAAAGTCTAGTCTATACCTACTATGACATATTTATCCTAAATTTTTTTCTCTGACACTAAAAATCACAAATTTATACCCGTGTCTCATATTTTCAGTCAACGAGCATTGTTTAAAATTTACCTACATGGATGACGGAAGGCAAACGGTATTAACATGGCATCCACGTGAGCCGTGTCTTTAGCGAGATAAAAACGATGTCGTTTTGACTAAAAAATCATTTGACAAAACCTTGACGAATGGGTTAATGTGTCGCGCGGGTACAATTTTGTATAGTTTTTGGTTTTCAATGGTTTTTTTTCCCTTTTTTAATAGCTTGTAGTTGAACAACAACCAAACAAGGTCATGCCATCACTTCGAGGCGCACCATAATTTTTCCGAGTGCACATAAATCAAGTCAAACTCGTTAGCAAAAATTTCAAATAGGACCTTTAAGTGAAGCATTTTTTTTTTCCTCAAAAGAGCACTCGAGTTGGATCTTATCTCAAATAACGACAATTCAATTTCAAAACACACACCCAATTCATCGGGCGGCCAAATCTTTGCCGGCGGCAAGCAAAAGAGAGCAAAAGGGACCACCCGCCTGGGTGGCGTCGCTGGAGCGAGCGCTCTTCCCCTCGCAAAAGGTTAAGCGTTCAAATCCCGGGCGCCGCAGGGTGACTTAACCGGTGGCACGTGTGTGGTAGCTAGCACGTGTCGCCCCCAGGGTTTACCCCGGCTGTCGGCTGTGCGGGGTTCCCTGGGTTACCAAAAAAAAAAAAAAAAGAGCAAAAGGGACATCGGCTTTGCTTTCATTATTCATTGAAATTGATCAATCCTCTAGAATTAATCCAACAACCTCCTTTGTATCGTCACAAACAAGAAACAACTATAAGTCCCGACAAACACCAATGATTCAAACCCAACTCTATACACATTCACGCAATCTCCAAATCTATTTAATATATAAAAAAAATTTATCTTTTCTAAAGAATTTCTAAAGGCAAAATGACGTGGCGCCGCCGCCGAATGATTTGCGCCGACGAGGTCAACACTCCAGCGCTCATCTCGCTCGTGATTCGCCCGAATCAGCGCGCGCCCCGCTCCCCCGACGACGCCGCCGCCGCCGCCGCCTACACGGAAACCGCCACCTCCGGCACCCTCCCTGAATCCGCCGCCGGAGCCGCTCCCGGCCTCGGCTTGATCGGGCCGGGCAAGGAGGCGAACCGGGCCGAGAATTTCTGGAACCCGCCGCCCTCCTCGCCTTCCTCGTCGACATCCCCGTTCTGCCCCTCGTCGAAGTTGAGGGCGTAATCCAGAGGGTCGTAGTTGAGCCGCCCGTGCCGGTGCGCCTTCCGGTTGAACCGCCGGATGAACGTCTTCCACCTGGGCCCGGCGGCGATCTCGGACCACTCCCGGAGCCTCTTCAGGTGCCCCAGCCCGCGGGCCCACCATCCCTCGCCACCGCCGTCGTGGCGGCGCCGCCCGCCACCCCCGGAGGACCCCACCCGCTCCCAGAAGGACGACCCGGCGGCGAGGCGCGACGCGCGGGCGCGGAAGCGGGGGAAGCAGAAGCACCAGGCTGAGGGCGACGGCGGGTATTCGTAGATCGGGTCGGGCTCCGCGGTGGTCGCCGACGCCGCCATGGCCGATTCTTCTGCGCTCATTCTCTCTATCTATCTCTCTCTCTACGCCGAAGCAGAGACTTTCTGCGTATAAATAGAGGAGACGGGGTGACCGGGAAATTCCGGTTTTCGATAAGCTTCGCTGGAGCCTATCTCTGGCTGCGAGGTTCACTTGCTCTCCCGGTAAACGGTCGACTCCTATCCTCGCAAATTAAATTTTGGCTGCACTACTCGCCCTATTTTTAAGATTTTCTTTTTGGAAATATTTGGAAAATAATTTAATTTATTATATATTTCTTGATATTTTACCACTTTTGTAGGTTTTTCAAAGCTGAACAGTCTGTCAAAACCATTTATGACAACATTCTATCCCATTAATCGTATTTGTCATTAATCTATTAAAAGTTTTTTTTTTGGCCCTCTCTCCTTATAAGGCTGTAATGGTAATAATCTAAACATTTTGCTTACCCAACAAAATCATGTCATAATCATATTTTTCGAGTATTCTATAGTCTCCGAATTTTGCCCAATACGCAGTGTCGTTCATGAACTTTTAATTTGTTTGGCGCGGTCCTCGAACTTTGGCCATGTGTGCAATGTTGTCCCTGAACTTTTAATTTGTTCACTTCGATTCCTGAATTTTCGAAAAATGTTCGATCTGGTTGGCGAACTATATGAATATATCCAATATTATCCTTCCATCAATTCAAGTTCGGAGACAACATCGAACATTTCCATATAATTCAGGGATTAAATTGAACATGTACAAAGTAAAAGTTCAGAATCGACATTGCACGTTAGGCTAAAAGTCCGTGGATCCAGATTGAGCAAAGTAGAAGTTCGAGGACGACATTGCATATTGGGCTGGAGTCGAGGGACCACATCGAACCAATTCAAGTCAAGGGACGACATCGTATATTAAGCCGAAGTTAATGAACTATTTGTGTCATCTTCCCTGCATTAATCATACGAGATACCTAACTTTGCATCTTCTGATTTATTAACCCCCAATATTATTCGGAAATAATTGAGTTGCGAAAATGGAAGGACCAACTATCAATGCCATGATTGGACTGTTAAGACCCCCACTAATCCAAGACCTAATTCTCGCTCTTTAGTTAGTAGAGGTGGGGGGAGGGGGGCCGCCGACGAGGGCGTTTTGGTAAATTCGCCGAGGAGCGGAGGTAGTCGTTAGACGCCCGTTGGGTTGGCGGTGGCTGGCGGGTGGGTGGCTGGCTGGCTGGGTAGGTGGCGCTGATCTGGTGCTCCGCGGGAGCGCATCATTTCGGTGGGGGCCCCGGGGATCGGGGCAGTGGATGATTGACGGACGGGAATCGCGGGGCTTTCGGCCTGGGGAAAGAGGACGATTTCTGGCAGCTCCGAAAGAGATCATGGGAATCTGATGACATGCTGCTGATCCACCACCCCCAATAGAGGCAAAAACGTGAAGGAAATCTTCGCACGCTTTCGGTTCATGCAAACGTTAACTATCTCTTAATCATCGACGGGATTTACAAAAAGGGTGTTAATAATTTGGTACGCGAGACTCGACCCGAGATGCCACGCTCGACCCGAAAGGGTGGTGCCGCGGCTGCAGTCTCTCGAGCTCGCCGGTTCCTGAGGGCTAACGCGGAGAGAGAGAGAGGGTCGGTTCTTGAAGGCGCAGGTTGCATTTTGCTAAGAAAATGGCCATTCCACGATTCATACTTAAGCTTGAACCCCAAGAAAGCTTCGTGCCGCTCGTGACGAGATTAGGAGCTCCACGAATCAATCCGGGAAAGATGGGTCTTTCGTGTTTGTATTGCTGAGTTATACAGCAGACAGAGAGTCGCATCCGTGAGCCGTGTTTTGGATGGAAAGAACGGCGGGTCCTCTGCGACTCCGGACTTCCGACGAATGGAGACGGAGTCGCAAGTCCGCTATTCTTGATTCAGCAGAGCAAGCGAGTACAATATCGATGTCATTTTCGCCAGTTCTCTGCGACTCCAGACTTCCGATGAATGGTGACGGAGTGCAAGTTTGCTGTTCGTGATTCAGCAGAGCAAGTGAGTACACCATCGATGTCATTCTCGTTAACAGGCTAGCTGTGTCAAATATTTGGACAGTAACTGAGTATACAACCAGCATTCCCACCACCAAGAGAATATGTACACCATGCTTTCCATCCAGAGCCCAGTGAAATGAGGAAGAGAAAACAGGGAACGGTATTCAAAAAAGAATTTCGATCGACCCCCGAGACGCGACCGACAAGAGGGTCTCGACCCATTTCGCTCTGCAGCTAAAAAGTGCAGAGAGGATGCGGCGGCCCGACGATATGCTTGAACCTCAACCAACCAACAATAGGATCCGTCCAGCCGGGGGAAAAAAGCAAGCCTACCTGAGCATATGGCTGCCTCGCCACCCGCTATCCGATTCCGCGTGATTGTGTTGAGAAAAATCTTGCCGTCGCGTTTCGAGTGGAGCTTTATTGATGTGGCTGGATCTCTCTTCTGCATGAGGACCTAGAATTTGAGGCAGCAGCCATGCCTTGAAGCAACGTCAAAACATCTATCGTGTCGTCTAGGTAGTACCGAGCTTTACTCGGCTTCTGACCGACGGTGCATGTGAAAACCTCTGGCGCTGAAGAACTGCAGGCCACGCTTGTAATGCTCTCGAACATGTCCTCGTCCGATCTATCGTCCCCAATGCACAAAACAAAATCTGGCGATTTCCCACCTTCGTTTAGAGTGGAGAGAACTTTCTCCGCCACTAAGCCCTTGGTCACTCCCTGCAGATTTGCCAGGAACAAAGGAAATAAGAACAAAGACTGAAAACATACGAGAGAGAGAGAGAACCGCGAGTTCGCACCTGCGGCTTCACTTCAACAATATGCTGACCCTTCTTCACGACTACGGGCTCGTTTGCGAGAACATTCTCGAGATGGTCTAATAATTCCATGGCCTGGAAGGATCCGAAATCAGGGTCAGCGTCCTGATAGTGCCACACCAAAGCGCTCTCCTTAGTCTCCACGTAGGAGCCATCGGTAGTCTCAGTATAAAGCCTCATTACTGGTTCAGCAATCCATTTCCAATCGAAATCCACCTCCAACCGACCAGTTTCCCAAGTTGCTTCCCTGCTCCACCTGCAAGAGAAGTACCCAAATTCCCAAATTTAAACTCCGGTGATGGTTGAAGTAAATGAAAGTCTATACTTACATATAGAGAAGGGGGGAAAAACATTGACTTGTGTACATAATATACCTCATGAAATATCCGTGTTCAGCTGCTATACCCAAATTCTCACATAGTGAAAACCAGCCACTCAAAGAATCTCGCCCCCGGCCACTAACTAAGAACACGGTGTTGCTTGAATCATCGCAGAGATCATTCAGAATGGAGATGACGTTAGGGCTCGGGGTCTTGATGATGGAAGCTTGAGGGACCAAAGTTCCATCATAATCCAGAAATATAGCTCTGCTATTAGTTCTCTTATAAGAAGAGACTAAAGTTTCGACAGATAGTTTCCTAAAGCTTGGAGACAGAGACATAATCCTGAAGTTCAGGCCGAAACCGATGCCCCAGCAGCGCTTCCTATAATGATCCTTGCATGATCTCTCCAAATCCTGCATGAAGCTGTGGGCCCAATATGCTACATCGTGGGAGCTGACGTAACGATAATGCTTCTCATGCCTAAGCCGCTTCTCAGTTGCAGGCATTGTGATGGCTAAGTTGAGCGCATCAGCAACCGCATCAACGTCCCATGGATTAACCCTGATGGCCCCACTTAATGAGGGTGAGCAGCCGATGAACTCCGAGACAACAAGCATGCTAGTCCGAGGGGTCTCAGCAGCTACCCCCAAAGCATCGTCAATTATTTGAGACCCTTGCCTACAAACTATGTACTTGTAAGGAATCAGATTCATCCCATCTCTCACGGCATTAACAATGCAACATTCTGCCGACGCATAATAGGCGCTTTTCTCGTAAAAAGAAATTGGACGGTCGATCAAAATTACCGGGTTGTAGCCTGGGAAACCAAACGTTTCGTTTATCCTGTCAGTAGTCGAATAGACCTCTTTCTTTACTTCTTGAACATCCTTCCCAGTGCTCCTGGCAGGGTTCATAATTTGAACCATCACCACTTGTCCTTGCAAATCTGGGCGCTGCCTCAGGAGTTGCTCGAGGGCGAGTAACTTTAGACTGATACCTTTAAATATGTCCATGTCATCGACCCCTAGTATAATCCTTTTACCCTGAAACTGTTTCTGAATTTCCATGGCTTTTGCAGCAGAAGAGCAGTGGTTTAACACGGATTTTAGCCTTCCCATGTGGATACCGACGGGCAAAATCTTAATGTAGATCGTCCGGCCCAGATATTCAAGTCCGATGTAACCTCGCTTGGACTCATAGTTTAACCCCATCATTCTACTGCAGCAAGAAAGAAAATGACGGGCATAATCAAATGTATGGAATCCAATCAGATCTGCATTTAGGAGTGCTTTGAGTATTTCGTCTCTGACGGGCAGAGTACGGTAGATTTCTGATGAAGGGAATGGGCTGTGGAGAAAGAACCCGAGTTTAACCCGATTGAACCGTCTCCTCAGAAAAGTAGGCAAAACCATGAGATGATAGTCTTGAACCCACACATAGTCCTCTCCTGGATTTATCACCTCCATCACCTTATCTGCAAATACTTTATTAGCGGAAACATAGGCCTGCCAAAGCAATCTGTCGAATCGATGGCCAATCTCAGGGCACATGGGCAGCATGTAATGGAAAAGAGGCCACAAGTGCTGCTTGCAGAATCCGTGATAATATCTCTTCTGAATCTCCGGAGGCAGAAACGTGGGAACACAATTGAACTTCTCCAACAACTCCTGCGCAACTTCATCTTGCTTGCTCGAATCTACATCTATCTTTAAGGACCCAACATAAAGCACATTAGCCTTGGCTGAGAATCCATCCTTCATTTGCAATAAAAGCGAGTCTTCGTCCAAACTAAAACGCCATTTGCCAGATTCTGAGTCCTTTTGACAATTCAGGGGCAGAAAGTTTGCAACTAGTATTATCTTTTCCTGAGGCTTGGACAAAGATCTATTTAACTC